GGTGTCTCCATCAAATTTAAGCGTGGACAAACAACAAATTCAGAGAGACCAAAAACACCAAAATCTAACGGTTAGATCTCTCAAAAACTTAAACCCTAGTTTATGCACATAGATATAAATAGCATTTCAAAAAGCATTTTTCAGACCATGAAAAAAAATTCCCTAGATTTTTTGTTCATGATCTTAATTTAGGTATAAAATTTCATTTAAAATAATTGATACGATTGTGAGAACAAGCCATTTCATGTGATTGGGGCTCAGTTTACACAGATCTGTAACTGTGTGAGATCGATATCCTTGATCAAACGATCAACGGTCACAATCTAATCCTTTTGCGGCTTTGTTCAACTGCACGCCTGATCCCGCTATTTACCATTTCATTTGGCTTGATCTATATCTTCGATCCGAACAACAGAGGATCAAATGGTTGGAACTCGTTGCTGACTAGGTTAAGTAACTTGCACATGGGTCCACCACTTTTTCAATCAACGGGCAATGACTGTGCGATGGTGCAATCATTGCCAATGATTGCCTGCCACAATGCTTTTCTGATTTGGCCATTCAGCATCCTGCACATGGCTCCAACCGCCACCGACGCCTTTATTTTAAATTTAAAAAAAATTAAAAATTATTAAATAATAAAAATATATATTTTTTATATAATAAAATTATTTTAAAATCAATTACTATATTTTAAAATTAATATTAATTTTAAATTTTACTTCTATTTTAAATTATTTTAAATATTTTTAAAAAAAATTAGAGGATCTCTTAAGTCTTTAAAATTTTATTTAAACCATATTTTTGATTTATTTATTTTTTAACTTATAATATATATATATAGGTTTATTTATATATACACACACACATATACATATATCTATTTTAAAGTTATATGTATTTTAAATCCTTAACTTTTCAGAGATCCGTTGAAATTTTAAACATTGATTGAGATTATTTGAATAGAATTAGTGGGGAATGAAACTTTATCAACGGGTAATTACTTTGGTAAATCTTTATTGATTAACTCTTTAATTAATTAACTTATATTTTGTTCTTTGCATTCTTAGGGTGCACAAACCACTTAGCATAGTCTCTCCTAGATTTAGGATTTGATTGTGCTTATGATTATTTTTGTTATGTTTATCCATGGGTTAGCATGACTTTGATTTAATCCTACACAACCTAATGACATCATTAAGGACAATAATTAAGGACATTTGTCTAGAAAACTCAGATTAGTTCTAGAAATTAGAATACATATCTTTTTGACTCAAAACTTTGAACACTTGAACTTAGTGACATATACATCCTTAAAAAAATTTTCACTGGTTTTAGAAATCATTAAACCCCTTAATTAATCTACTTAAGCTTAAACCCTTAATTAAGCTCTTAAAACTTCTATAAAATCTAATAAATCAAATTTAAATTCAAAAAATACAAATAATATCTCAAATTTACCAAAATTTAAACCTTGATCAATAAAAAATAAAATTATTTTTATTTGATATCAAAGTTGAAAATAATTTAATTTTTGTGGAATTGAATATTTAATTAATTTAATTAACTAAAACTAATTAAAATTTCAAACACTTGGAAATCTTTCTTAGGCCATTCCTGGCCATTGGAGTTGATTTCAAGGAGTTGAGAGTTCATTTGGACTCAAATCATAAAAAACCCCATAATTAAAAATTTAATAATTACTCAAACTTCAAACCCACATAACTAAATATAGAAAATTTAAAATCCAGCAAAATTAGTCTCTAAAAACTCATCTTAAAGTCTAGTATTTTATAAAAATATTAAATTTATAGAATTTAATCCTTAATCAAAAAGTTAATTTTTAATCCTTAATTAAATGATTAAAATAATCCAAAAAATTCTTAAAACTCAAAAATCACTTTGAAACTCTAGAAATCTTTAATTAACCTTAAAATCAGTAATCAACCAACTTTAATTAAAATTTATTAACTTTTAAACCTTAATCAAATCAAATTACTTAAATATATCGGGTACCATTAGGTAACCCAGACCTACGAGGCTATTAGTTTAACCCCATGGAAGGTGAAATAAAAACTTCACGACCTCAGAGAGCAATAAAGGTGGTAACCAATAACCTTTAAAACATTATTTAAAATTAATTTTAAGACATTAATATTTAAACTCAAACTTAAATCCCGTAAGCTTTTCAACCAATAAAAACTTTAAACAACTTTAATAAATTGTCCTATATATGACATATGCAACCCACACAACCTACCACATACACTTTAGATAGTTTGTTAGGACAATCAACTCTAGTTTTAGGCTAGGCCAGTATTTAATTTTTTACAGTTGTGTGTCATGTTTTCCGTGGTTTTAACTATATGTTGGTTGCTATATTAGAATTGATTGATTATTTATTTATTTATCGCACTCTACATTGTGATTGATTAAGCATTTAAATTTAAAATATATCAACTGCTTGGGATGTTTTAACTGTTGATTACAGGTGTCCTATCTAGATTTTATATTTTCAAATGTAATTTAATTCAAGCTTTGTGTTATAAATATTTAAGTGATTTGAGATGGGATATTTATATCCAACTTGGATTCCCAAGAGGAGAAGGCATCCCTAAAGGGCGGAGTCTTCCTCCATTTGGAAGATCAA